TCCCTGGGTATGTGAACTGAAGATCCTTCGAGGTCAGGGTGCTGAGGCTCTGGTCAGACTGCCTCACAAAGCACTGGTCAGAGTGCTTTGCTCTCACATCCCCAGGGACAAGCTGGATCCTTAGCCTCCCAGCATATAGCCAGGGAGAAGAGCAAAGCTGGCAGTAGCATCTGCTGAGTGACCATGGGAAGGGGTAGGGATGCTGGAGTGGCATCCGTTCTAAACATTGCTCTGCAACCACAAACAACAGGCTTCGAGTTGAGGATCCCAGAAAGAAGCTGTACCGCATGTCTCGGGCACAGTGGCTCCAGGGACTGCGTTCCTTTAGGATCCCTTTAGCTGCTTGCTAGGGGAGGCTGAACAAGCTGCTGCATGCCCAAGAGAAACCACAGAGCCAGCCCCCTTCCCTTTCTGTTCTTTCAACTCTAGTAAAACTCTTGGGAGAACCAAATGGCAAGAAAATTCCATGCGGCAAGTGACAGATGGCATGGCCTTGGGGTGTTTTAGGAGAGAGTACTGGTAGTTTTCAGTTTTGTTAGCTGTGTCCTCCAGGATAAATACTACTTGGGCCCACCCAGGGTACCGCACGAATGTTTGATGTAGTTAGTACACGGATTCTTGAGGCCCTCAGTCTCTTGTCAGCTTTTAGAAGCCAGAAGAGCCCAAAGCCTTTTACTTTACTGCTTCCCACAAAGGTTGGGGACACAGTTGGCAAACCAATGGGAGCTGAGGAGGCCTGTAGTGACTGTCACAGCAGGCTGGGTCTAGAAGGCATCCTGGAGAATTCACACCACTCTAGCCTGCTGACATTTAGTCTCCCCTCAACACCTTAGAACGTGCTAAAGAAACAGAAGGCAGTAAAAGGAAGCAAGCACATCTTGCCAGCATAAAGCCACTTTCCTGCACTGTGTCACAAAATAAAAGTCAATGATAGAAGAACCTGCGTCCTCAAGAAGAATGGCACTGGCTTGGTGCAGTGTGGAGTCTTTTTGCCATCCTGAGTGCGAGAGGGTTAACTGGAGTTGTCAAATGCTTTATGGTTGGTGTTAGATGTTAGCCTGGGGATGGAGAAGATGGGACAGACTGTCCCTAAGGAACTGACTGCAGGGAAGTACTTCTGGTTAAATTCTTGCTGAGTGAAGATGAAAAATCACTATCATGATCCTCACTTTTAAGAACAGTGAGTGTTCTGTCACCGTTTCCCTAGGAGACAGGAATAAAATAGAGTAGTCCACGCCAATGGCTGAGAGGCTGTGTGAGACTCCGCCTCGCTTTGCAGGGAGCCCGCTGCAGCAGCGGCCTTGGCCACGAGGTGGCATGCCTCACCTCAGAAAGCGTTCCTCAAGCTAGAGAGCTGGGACTTGCCTGGAGTTTTAGTTGTTCAAATGGAGTCCTGGCTCCCTCTGCCAAAGAGCTTTACAGGCTTGAATCGTGTCTCAGCACAAATCAGAACCTGAAATTCAAGAGAAGGTGGACAGTTGGCAGAAACACTGATCTCCCAGTGTGTCCCTGTCACGGGGGTGGTGTGTGTGGACACACAGCCTTGGCAGTGCTGCAGGGCAGGGGCAGGGAAGCTGTTCTCCATCCTTTCCCTCATCCAGGAGCTGACTGGTGGGAACCCTGGCCACTTGGACACGTGGGGCGAAACAGTACTGGAGAGCTTCCACCGCTTGCTCCAGAGCTCGGCACCCCTGACGTCTCTGCCGCTCATGCTCAAGTGCACCTAGGGCCACACGAAGTCTACCGGGATTCTCTGAGCATGCGTTGTGCTGTAGGCCTGAGCCTCCCACCTCCAGCCGCTCATCTTGTTTTGCTTTCAGGCAGTGTGAGTGGACACACAAATGAAATAAACTAGGAGTCAGATTAACCAGTGAACTCCCTCTGAACGGAGCCATGTCGGATCTGAGGAGCTGCGAGCCGTCTGGACCGCAGCCGCAAGGGGCGCCACCGGTGCTCGGTGGCCCAGTGTTCCAGGGCCTGGAGCTGGCCTTTCTCCACTTTGTACAGAGATTCCCAGCTGTGTCGTGTTACCCAGGAAGCCTCGGGGTTGGGTGGGGTGACCAGAGCTGCTGCTGGATGAGTGGCAACAAAAGTTGGGAGGTGGGAGCCAGAGCGGCACCTGGGGGTCACCCCACCCTCGTCATTCAGCCGGGATGAGGGGAGGACACACCACGGCCCAGAGCAGCTGGGGAAGACGTCGTTTGCAGTGGTCCATAGGATTGTTATCCGAGGATCGAGCAGCCAGCCCCGAGGCCACTGAAGTCCCCTTTGGGCAGCATCTTGGCCTGTAGGGATGGTGGCTTGCAGGGTTGGAACTTTTAAAGGAAATCAACTGTTCTTATGAGTTCTACTCACATCACTTAATACACTTCCTGGCTTGGGAAGCATTCCGAAACACTACTGGGGAGGGGTATGACCCACACAGCGGTTGATAGTTTCAACTGTCAACTTTACAGTGTCTAGATCACTTGGGAAAGGAATCTCAACCGAGAACTTCCAGAGAAGGCTGGCCTATAGACACGTCCTTGAGGCATTATCTCTATCACTTAATTAAGGCGGGGAGACCTGCCCACTGAGGGGCAGCATGGGACCCTGTGATGTCAGAGTGACTCCTGGCTCTGACAACTGCATCCTGGAACTGTGAGCTAAAATGAACTCCTGTAAGGTGTTTTGTCAGGGTGTTTTATCACAGCCACAGAAACGAAACTGAGACACCACGAGGTAGATGGGAAACATTCTTACCTTCTGACTTTCCTGTAGCAGAGGTCCCAGCCATAAGGCAGGACCACTGTATAATTCCACAGATGGCTTTTTGTTCCTGGAAAGTCTGCCACGTGTGCCCACAGGCTGTCGCCATCAGCAAGGAAATCAGCGAACACTGGTCCCCAGAAACTTCCCTAAGCAGCCTGCTTGGAGGCATAGTCAGTGAGGGATGTAGAGGAAGTAATCCCTTTAGTATAACCATTCTGGGACAAAAGATCCTGGCGGGCTCAGGGCGTTCCGGTCAGTCCCTGGGCCCACAGGACCGGGCATGGACAGGGGCGCTCGGAAACCTCTGCAGCCCCTAGGCATTGCTGTCCCAAGGCATTGCCGTCACTGGTGTTCCAGTGCTGGGTAGGCACAGGTCTGCTCAGGCTGGCAAAAGAAACGGCTCTGTGCACAGACTGCGACCGCCTCTGCATGCGGGGTCAGACGCTAGCTCAGGCCACTCCCTGCGTGTCAACTCCGTGTGAAGCATTTTTACATGCGTGTCCTCACATGCCCGCCCATGTTTTCTCCCTGCTCTCTTTAAAAAACACCACTGCAAGTCCCACAGAGCCGTTCCCAAGCCATATTTCTCTCTCTCCTTGCTGGATTCAGTTTGCCGCCCTGAGCATGGGAGCAGGAGGGGGAACAGCTTTTTAGTGTCTTTAATTAGGCAACAGGAAAAAACAAAGTCTGGCTGAAAATTACCACGTGAAGCTTGCCAAGAAAGCCGAGCTGGCTCTGCGTGCTGGACCAAGCGACGGCCACTGGTTTCAAGAATGCGTGGCAGGCAGGGCAGAGCAGACCCCACCTGGCTCTTAGACAAGGAGCTGGTTCCATCTGCCCTTTTCCATCATTAGCCTAATACATGTTCTTTTCCTTGTATGGATTTGTTTATTATTTTTGGTGTTTTGAGACAGTGTTGTCATGAAACCTAGGCTGGCTTTGAACTTATGACCCTCCCCCCTCCCTCCCTAGTGCTAGGATTCCAGGCTATTCTTTTGGTCTTTTATGTGTGAAGGCAGGTGAAATGTCTTATCTTCCTGAGCACTGTAGCTCACGCCTCTAGCTCCAACACTTGAGAGCCTGCAGGAGCATTGTCATGAATTTGAGGCTACCCTACACAGTGGCCAAGGCTAGCACAGACTGCAGAGTAAGACTTGGTCTCAAAAAATTTAAAAAAAAAAAAATGTAGGAGGTCTGGAGGTCATTCTGAACACAAACCTGGGAAGTCAGTGGCATTTTTACAGCCACCTTCCACGTTGACCTGCAGGCATGGTGTTTCCCATGCTGCCGGCAGAAGCCTGTGGGTGTGTGTCACAGCTGGCGTTTTAGACTGTTTCCAATTAGCCAGGGGAATCTAAAGGTGTCTCGGAGCTTTGTGGCTCGGGATAGCCACCCACTTGGTCTGCTGCAGTCACCTTTAGGGATTGCTCACGAGTGTGTAGAAAAGAGCCTTCCATGGCACTTTCTCCCACTCGGTACAGAACCAAGCCGTCCCCATCGGTACTGACCGCCCCACACATCCACTCTAAAAAGGCAGAGTTCTGGGGCTGCATCCGGCTGTTGGGAGTGACGAGGGGTGCCTAAGAACCAGCCCAGTACAGGCCACCGAGACACGACAGAGATCCTGTTTCTCCTGTAGCCACAAACAGCACCTCCTGACTAGCCTTTCTTTTGTCCACAAAGATAATTAGCTGCCGAGGACATCACCGTCCTTTCCTTCAGAGCAATCACACACAGGGCACAGACAGAAACCTGCTCATCTTCCAAGGGAGGGAGTCCACCTTGGTCCTCGTCCCCCTCTCAGGGATACTGACAGAGAAGCCCCCAACGTCAGGAAAGAGCTAGGCTTGGGCATCCCATACCTTGCCCCACTCTTCAAAGTGAGGTCCATGATGGTTCCCGTGCCGCCCACGGAGATGTCAGTTCTCAGCTTCCCAGTAAAGGGCACAGCAAAGTCTGTGACAGGGTCTTCAGTGTGAGAACTGAGGCTCCAATGAGCTTCCCACCCACCAAGAGAAACAGATGGCCACACTTGTATGTGTGCGCACGCATGCGTGTGTGTGTGTGTATGTAGATGTGTGTATGTGTGTGTGTGTTGAGCTCAGGGCCTTGTGCATGCTTGACAAGCACCCTACCGCCACACTCTCATCCCCATTCTTGAGGGTTCTACATTCTCTCCTCCCCCCCCCCCCCCCCAGATACAGCACTCGAGTGAAAAAGACTCATCAGTAAGGACAGGGAGAGACGAGTGAAGGGTAAGGTCCAGGGAGGCTGGCTTTATTTCTTTCTAGGTGATTGTATTTCAGGCTGGCAGCATCCAACAGACTAATTACCAACTAATGTTGTACCTCTGAACTACAAATCAACAACCCAATTCAGCAAGGAACAGTGTCAACAGCTTGTTGCGGAGGGCCACTGGAAAATAAGTGGTTTGGGCTGGTAGTGTGGAGCGGAGCTGAGGGTGAGGCCCAGGTGCTGTGAGACACCAGGCTGTGACAGACTAAAGTCCTGGGAATCCCTAGGCCAAAGCCCAGGTCCTAAGAACAGAGCTGGTGTTTCCGTTTTTGTGGTCAGTTCAGCTTCCTGGGCCGAGCAAAGGAGATCAAGGGCAACTCTAGTTGGCATGCCCTCTGCCCTCACTTCTCCCTAGAGCACAGCCCTTTCTTCAGGTTTCTAGAGAAAAGGAAACTCTCATTGCTTTTTTGATCCAGTTTGAAAAGAACGTGGAACAGGAATGGGCTGAGCTGCCTCTGCAGAGGTCCAGTGACTTCGGGCACAGAAGCAGCCCACAGAGAGGCCCACAGCACTGCTCCAGGAACTCGGGGATGAACCTTGGAAAGACACCCAGGAGGGAGAGTTCATTACCAACATTCCAAGATAGTGGGAGATTTTTGTATGGGCAGAAATCTGGGGGGGTGGTCCAGAGCAGGGAAGAAAGATAGGGGGATCAAGAAACTAATCACACAGTAAGCGTTCTATGAATGGTTAGCTCAGCTTTTCATTTTCCCACCAAAACAAACACCCACAAGTTTCCTTACAGATTTGGAAGTCCCCTGCCCAAGAACCCACTGACGTGGCATTCTCCCTTCAGACCAAGAAAGAATATGTCCTTACAGAGCATGTGTTCACCAACAGCTCTCAGCCGATGTCCGCTGAGGCAACGCCCCTTCTTCTGTTACTCCCTAGGTACGAGTGTCACAGGTGTGTGTGCCAACCCCAGAGTCAGAGCCCCAATCCACTGTCCCTGCTTGCTCACTCTGCAGAAGACCCTGGCAGGTCCTCTACCAAGAGCTAGTGACCAGGAGAGTGCGGCAGTCCCGGTGCTGGCTGGTCATGCCATCCTCACAGAACCCCAGCCCTCTCCGAACGCGGGGGGTTCCACTGCCGCCGTGAGGATGTGCACCTTTGGGCGCTAGCTGAGTTGTTAGTGCAGAAACAAGGCACCACAGAGGTTGGACACTTGGGTTTGTGGTTCAGGACGCGCTGGAAAAGTCCAGGGGCGGAGGGGAGGAAGGGGGGAGACCGTGTCTTAAATACTGTCTCGGGAGGCCAGAGCCCACTAGATGGGCTCTGGTTTGAGCTTTTCTGCTAGGAAGTCATTCACAAAAGTCTCCACAATGGCTGGGGTGATCTCTTCTACATCCATCACGTACTTGGCCCGAGCTGACATGTCCAGAATGGTGAGCAAAGGCGCGGCCTCGGGCAGGTTGGTGTAGTCTCGCAGGGACTCAGTCATGTCATCCTGGAAGTCGCCAGAGGGGCAAGAAAACCAGTAAGTTTTAACCAGAGAGTCTCCTCAGCCTGGTCCCTAGGGAGCATGGAAAAGGGGCAGCACCAGCTCGCTGGAGTGTGGGCTCCTATGGAAGGATGAGGACCCTTCCCTGCCTTATGGAGAAGGATGTCCACTTCCCCGGCACCCCCAATCCAGGCTACCTTTCTTCACGAGCCTGAAAGTTGCTTCTTAAGTTATGAAATCCTAATGGCTTGGTTTTGCAACCAGCTCTCAAGTCTTTGCAGTCCCACTGTGGATTATCTGAGGCCCGTCAGGATTTCAACTCTGGAAGGTTTTTCTACGAAAACAGCTATCTCCTGTGCCCTATCTCAGAGGAATGCAGGGGGTGCCAGCCAGCCTGGAAGCTACCTCACTGCATTTGTCTGAGAAGGAAGCAGTGCTTTGCCACTCGTTCCATCCAGGTGAGCTCCGCCCGCTCAGGTGCTCCTCATCCAGACAGGCAGACATGGCCAAAGACAAGGAAGCACTTATGGAGAAGCAACTATCTGAGGTGACCTTGACCTTTCATGCTACAGACCTCCTTTAGAGGCTGACGGGAAACAGGGCTTCACACCGCACAACACATAATATTCTAATTCTAATGGAAAGTTTGGAGTTGCCCTGCAGAGAAAGGGGTTTTACTTGAAGGTGAGCAGGAGGCATGAAACTTAGGCTCACTGGGTCCTCAGACAAAATCCACTGCGTGCTCAGACGCTAAGGAGGATTGTGAGTGACATCTTCTTGCCTTGCGAGATAGCATGTGCCTCCCGTAAGTATGGAGGCTTCCACATCTTGGGCACTGATGACCAGCTTCAGCCCTCCTCACGGGTTATTAAACCCTTAATGATAAACAGAGGGAAGCACCTGGACAAACACTGGCCACCTCACCCCGTCAGGAGGCCTGGACCAAGCCAAGAACTCCATTCCGCCCAGCCCTGGCTCCCCCCTGAGCAAACCAGAGAGAAATGAATTTTAATGTCCACGAAGACTTCAGATTAACCACTGCTTGTCCCAAGGGACAGGATTGGGGCAGAAAACAAGAATAAAAGGGCTCCCCCAGCCCTGGGCCACAATGCTGGCTCAGTTAACACCCATGGTCCGTCTCTCTGTCCCAGGCTGCCCACCCTGACTTCGTGCCAGGTTATATTGCTTCTGAGCATAAGGACAGAGGGTTGAACCTAGTCAGCTGCCCAGACTGGCGCCTGTGTGGAGCAATGGCTGGCTGACAGGGGGCTCTGCCGAGCTTTCTGGTTCTTCTGTCAGAAGAGGAAGAGCCCTGGCCCTGGCGCCACAGTGACCTATGTAGCTCCTTCTCTGCTACCTACCTTCTGTGTGGCCTTGGCAAGGGACATCAATGGAGCCCAGGTCTCAGCCCTAACACCCCAGGCTGTGAAAGGAAAACAGCCCCCAGAGCCCCAGCCCTGCCTAGGAGAGTCTGGCCTCCTCCCTGCTGTGCCTCGCTTTCCTCATCCCTGGAACAGGATAACGAGTGTGTTCTCAGTCAGAGAGGTGAGGCACAAAGAGGACCAGCAGGTGAAGTTCCTGGCAAGGCGCCTAGGGTACAGAAAACTGGAAAAAGCGCCTCAGCAATGCTCCTGACGCCCCGCCCCGCCCCAGCCTGGCCCTTTCTCTTCTGCACCCGTCTTTTCTTAGGAGCCATTCTCTAGGGTTAGAGTTTAATACATGCAGAGCAGCCTTGCCTGCTCCGTGTGGAGTGGCTGCGAGCCCCCAGGCAGGGGCCTGTGAACCCTTTTTGTTCCCCTCCACCCCAGGGCTGGGCAGGGCAACTGGAGCTGCCTGCGAGGGGCCCAGCAGGGCAGCCAGGGGCAGCCTCGGAGGAGGTGATGAATGGGTGGCTTAGGGTGTCTGGCCTCTCCCGTTTGTCTGCCCGGGGTTCTCCTGGGATCCCAACACAGTGTGCAGACAACTGGAGGTTCTGACCTGTGCAAGAAGAGCTGTGATGGGTCGGGGGGTGGGGTGGGGGAAGGGGTGGCCTCAGAGGGGTGCTGGGGTGGGGAGGAGAGGCAATGAGCATGTGCAGAAGGAGCCAGGAGAGCGCCTGCGCTGCTGATCACAGCCATCTTGCAGAATGCAAGTGCCTGTGCGATGCAGGCTCCCAAGCTTCAGGGTGGCGGGGCGCCTGCACAGGGAGTCTCTAAGGACCCGCCATCCAACCCTGGGGAAGTGCCCTGCTCAGTCTGGCAGAGCCAGGCTAGGCCTCGGGAACAACAGATGGGAAATAGCAGCGATTTCCACCCTTCCGAGTGCCTTCAGCTGTGTGTGTGAGTGACCTCAGGTCTCAGCTGTGTCCTAAGCCAGGAGCCCTGTGATGGCTCAGCTCATGCTGCAGGCTGGTATAGCGGGACTAGCCCAGCTGACACTTTGCAAAGCACTGGGGGTTGCTTCTGACCCAGCGCCACCGACGGGAGTGAGTAGGGTAGGTGGTTGATGCCTGTGACCCTGCTTTCCCAGCAGAGCATGGGAACAGCCCCGGGAGGGTTTCCTAATGTTCTCAGGCTGCTGAGTGAGAAGGAAGGGCTGGGGAGAGAGCAGGGACAGAAAATGGTTTTTGATCACTAAGGACACACCTTTCCTCTCACAGCTGTGTGTGGCACAATCAGCTCAGACCCAGAGGTCCCTTCAGACCTCCAGGAGCCAAGATTCCTCATGCCCTGGAAGCCCCCGCTGCCAGCCTTGCCAGGGGCCAGGCCTGTTCCCTGCACTCACCTCCCCTGCCACAAAGAACAGCAGTGGCGCCTCCTCTTCTTTGGCTTTGTACTTGGCGATGATCTTCTCAGCTATTGGCTGGATCAGCTGTTTGGCCGTCTCAGACTCTCCATCATCCTCAGAATCTGTGACAGGAAAAGAAAGAAACTCTCAGGTGTCAAATAGTGGTGACCGGGATGGACCCGAGTGCTGGGCCTGAGCTGCACTGGGCTCACTAGACAGGCTCAGTGAACAGTCCCAACCCTGCCCGCCAGCACTCGGACCTTGTCACGGTGCTCTTCACATGCCTGTACAGGAAGCTGTGCTGCTGCCCTACCGACACCTGAGCCCCCTGCAGCCTTTCTCCCAGTCAGAGCCACCTGGTAGCCAGGCCGGCCCTGGGGTGGTCTACAGCAGAACACACGGGGCTCAGGCTGCTGCAGCCTGTGGCCAAGAGCCCGGGAAACACCCGAAAGTGCTACAGCAGGGAGGGGACAGGCGTCTACCCAGAGATGCCCAGGAGGCTCACGGTACTCGGACATGAACACCTGGGACACCCCATCTTTAATTCACTTTGTGACGCTACCCAACTTGTTTTGCCTCTCTGGGACTCCCTTTCCACATTTCTGGAGAAGGCCAAAAGGTTCCTAATTGTCCCCAAGGTCAGCGCTCTTTGTCAACAGGCCCGGGATGTGGGTGTGAGGACCTGCAGCAGGCCTTCCTACACAGGACCAGTCTGCTGAGCAGCTGAGAATGCATCGGGTGCTGCGGGTGCTCCCCAGGACCCCAGTGAACATGGCGGGGGCCGCTCCAACCCTGGACTTAACAGAGCAGTTCAGCGGGAGGTGACCAACAAAATCCCAAGGTTTGTGGCCATGAGCTGGGAAAGCCTCTCGGGTCATCCCAGCAGAGTATGGGAGCACTTTCTGGTCTTTCTCCTTGGCCGAGAGGCATAGCTGCTGAGGCTGGGGGAGCAGAGGTGCCAGCCGGTGGACGTGGGCCGGCGACAGTGGAATCGTTCATCAGAGTGCAGCAGAGCAGCAGAAGCAGCCCAGGATGAGCCGTAGCCCGAGGGGGCCCCACCCCCTGCAGCTGCTGTGCAAGCAACCCCCCTCTCCCTTCCCAACAAAGGTTCTGTTCATGGGGGGCTGGGGATCCTCCTGCCTGACCTGTTTGCCCAGCTGGTAGTAGGAGTGGCAGAGAGGGAGAGCAGAGCAGTGGCTGCTCCAGACCACTGCCCGCAGGGGGACGGCCATGAATAAATCATCGGGGTCAAAAGCAGGGCTGCTGGGGAGACAAAGACCCCAGCTCAGCACTGTGGATGACACAAAGACGCTGCGGGGACACTGTCCACCTCCCACGAGAGGTCCATCCGGACCTGTCTCCCACTCCCCCTCGGCTCCGTACCTACAAAGAGGACGAGGCAGGGGCCCTCGTTGAGCTGCACGGCGTTGGAGTCCGAGAGCTCCAGCACGGGCTTCGGGTGCCACGGGAACTCCCTGCAGTCCTCGTCGTTGAGCACCTCCACCCGGCCCTGCCGCGTGATGACCTCCCCCTGTGGGTCCAGCACGATGAGCGTGGGGATGCCTACGGGAAGCACAGAGCGCTCAGCTGGCTGCCGTCCTGGCAGGGTGGAGCCTGTCTTCCCCACCTGGGAAGCCCTGGGTCGAGGCTAAGCGCAGTCGCTCACGAGCTCCAGAACCACTCTGGGGGTGTGTGGGGTCACGCCACGGTACGATGAACAGGTCTGGGCTCTGGCATTCTCGGTGTGTGTGTGTGTGTGTGTGTGTGTGTGTGTGTGTGTGTTACTGTGAAGGGGCTGAGTTCCCATCTTTCCCAGCTCCATCGACAGCAACTTCGTGACAAGCTCAGAGAGCAGAACACAGGAGCCGGCACTCACTAGCGTGCACAAATGGGCAAACACCCACGCACACTCATGAACACACACACATGGAACTGAGCAAAGGGTCTTGGCACAGAGGTACAACCAATTAGTCAGTGGTGGGTATCCCTAAAGAGACGCCAAAGGTACGGCAGGCCGCACCAACTGGCAGAGAATCTAAGGCAGGCAGAGGTAATGGCACAAAAACAACCACAGACCCTCCCACTCAGTGCTGGCTACATACAGCAGATGTGAAGGAGTCCTCACACAGTCACCAAGGACACCCCAAGAGCTAGCTCTAAGGGCACAGCCCCAGAGGGCAGGGCTGTGTAGGAAAGGGAGGGCCTGGTCTGGGCCTGCAGCACAAATGAGGGAGGCCGAGGACAGCTGGGCCCCTGCAGGCGTTTACACGCTCGCTTCCAGAGGATCCAACACACCTCCAGGAGGCGCGGGACTCGGGAGTCTGGACTGCAGAAAGCAACACACCAGAACGCATGCCTGCAGAGCGCATGCGCTCTCACTATAGGGCCCCAAGTAAACCTGGGGGCCGCAGCCTGGTTTACAGCTGCGTCTTGGCTTGCTACCTCTTTGCTCTCTGTACCCTACTCCCACTCCCCACTGCTTCTCCCCTAGCCAGAGCTCCCATTCACAGAGTTGGCCTCTGCCCTGACCTTTGGGGACACTTGTCTCTCCACTGGTGGCTGGTCCCCTCCCCAGCAGAGCTCTCCAGGTAGCCCCTGGCCTTGGGGGCAGACCAGAGCCTGAATTTTATATGAAAGCCAGAGCAATTTAGATAGGTTCTGAAGTATTTGGTCAGTAATTTGCTCCACTGACATTTTACATCCCCATGGCGGGGGCCCAGTGGGCATACGGTGGTGGGCCTATGTTCAAAAGGAAAAAACAAATCCATTTTGTTCGTACCTACTAGGAGAAGTAGCTGGGCTATGGGAACAGGTGAAGAGAGTCCAGCTCCTGTAGCCCCGACGCCTGCGGACTTTTAAGATGCACTCAGTCTCAAGTAGGAGACCTGAGCAGGTATCCTGATGGCTATCTCTTCCCCAGAGGCCCAAAGCCATGTTGGCTGTGTCTCTAAGCACAGGACCAGAGTCAGCAGCCCAAAGGGAGCCTGAGGCTGGAGGCCACCCGGGGCAGCCTGGGACACGAGTGATCCACACTGCCACGTCCCCATCTCTAAAAAAGCATCAGCACAGTTCTTTGCTCTGAACTGGTGTTTCTGAAACTGGGCAGTTCTGCACACTGGGTAAACCTGAGCCCGCCCACTGCTATGATTAGATGCAATAGCAGGCCTGCTTTTAGCCTGGACTCAGGATACAGAGTTGGTCTGGGAAGAACAGACAGGCAGAGCTCGGGAAAGGAAAGACGACGAGCCTGCCAGCCGGGAATCGAGTTCCTCTGTCTTTTCATCAAGTCACTGTGAAGGGATCTGTTTGTTGTTCTCTTGAATCCTGTGGGGAGCAGGGCAGGACAGGACCCCAAGGCCATGAGGTTCATAGGGACAGGCAATGTCAGGAGTGTGACTATGGTGCATGAAACACACAAAATCAGACCTGGAACTGGAGAGGCCCTAGCGAGCATCTAAGCTCCCATGTCCACCAGTCCCTTCAGGTGGCCTTGGGTTTGACCTTGGGACCCTCAAAGGGTGTCCTCTGCTGCTGAATCAGAGGGTGGCAAAGAGAAGGAGATCTTCCCTCTGCAATGTCTGCTCTGCCGGGCACAACATAGTTGCCACCTTACTTAGTCATCCTGACAGGCTGTGGGGACTACCACCAGGCCACCCAGCCAGTCCCAGTGGGATAGGAACACTGGCCGGCCTGTTGCAAGGGCTGTGGCTGTCTGCAGGCCACCGCCTTTGCCAAGGACTCTACCAGCATCGGGCTGGGGCCAGGGACAGTCTGGGAACCAGTTTCCCAAGCTATTTTTCCCTTCTCTTCTTCCTTCCCCAGAGCGGTGGCAAAAGAGACCGAGGGTGTCACACCGTTCCTCTCCTTCTCTGCATGCAGTCCTTGAGGCAGGCTTTCCAAAGTCAATACTTCAGAGAAAACAGGGGGAAGCCCCAAGAAACTTCAAGGGAACAGCAAATTTCTCACCGATGCAGTCATGCAAAATACCTTCCACACCAGCGAGGGGCTTCTTGTGGGAACAAAAGAGGCAGCTTATCGCTGCTCTACTGGGCCCAGACTTGTTTCCCAGCTGGGACGGCTGAGAGAAAGGTGCAGATTCCTGCAGTTTTAAGGAAGATCTCACAGTCCCTTAATTTTTTTTAGCCTCATCTCCAAAGCTGCCAAATGGGAACATCAGATTCTACCTCACTCGATTATGGGAAGGAATAAAAAGATGGAAATGCAAAATGTTTTAGCTGAGTGCTGGGGATACAGTATGTGTTCCATAAGTGATAACAAATATCATAAATCCACTCATGTTTTAAAAAGTCCTTCCTGAGACGGCAGAGGCACAGAAGGTGGGAGCCATGTGTAGATACGGGAGATACAGGTAAGAACCCCAGCAGCAGAGACATGTGCCAAGCAAGAGGCCAGTGCTCTCTTGCCTGCATCATCCCAAGCTTACCTTCTGAGCTGAGAACATATGTAACCCCATGCCCAGAGAGGTATCAGCCCAAGCCTTCAGCTCTAGAGAGCTGGAGTATCCATCAGTCCTGGGGTCCCCTCCACTACCCCCCTCAAAGCACAAGAAAAAAAAAAGGCCTGCAAAGCCAGTGTCAAACCCTTTCTTCTGAGGGAGACTTACTGGTTTTAGAAAAACCTCAAAACAACGCATGCGTCCACCAAACAGTTTAGTCCTCTTGTTTTTCTGCTTGCTAAGGAAACAGTTTGGGGATGGGAGGGTAGGGGTGGGACAAAAAAGCTGAAATGGTCCAGGCACTTGAGGAAGAAAGGAGCCAGGAAGAGAAGCCCCTAGCCCCTAGTATCTGCATGGCAGCATCCATGCTGGGGTCCCTGGTCCCCAAAGACCAGTGGGAGGCAGTAGGAGAAACTGGAGAAGGGCATCCTGGGACAGGAAGTGCAGGCCGGGGCACACTGTGGGGCATAGAAACAGTCATCATAGAGAGTGCGGCCACTCGGAAAGGGCTGCAATGCACTGCAAAGAGAGCTCCCCCCAACGGCACAGTGCTACATGCATGTTACAGCTATGTGTAAGTGTGTGAACAATGACCAGAGGGACTCAGAAAAGTGCAAACAGTTGTAGATTAAGATGGGAACACAGCTGAGATATGGAGAAGTTTGAATTTTAAGTGATGTAACATATGGATTAAATACATGAAAATCAGAACTGAAGGGCAGCAGGGCTGGGGTCGGGAGGACAAACTCCATCCAACACCTGGGCAAAACCAACAGCCAGTTCCACTCATCGGGGCTCTCCTCTGTGGCGCCCAGCCCCAAAGCCTTCCCAGGCTTGCTTAGAGAACTAAGAAGAGGATGGGAGCAGCTGACTTAGGTGGCAAAACTCAGAAAAACCCGACTGAGGTCAGAGAGATGGGCCTGGAGCAATTTGGATATGGCCAGAAGATCCAAAAGCTGCTCATCTGCACCAAGAGAGAGGTATGGCCAAGTTATTATAAACCCAGGAACCAACTGTCAATCAGGCGTGGAGCAAATCTGTCTGCCGGCACAGTCAAACTGTCCATCAGCAGAGGGGCAGATAAGCCAGGCAGCACAGTTAAGCAATGGAGCCCTTCCCAGACCTGAAAATAACCAGCTAGATATGGATATTAGCGGGGATACATCTCAAAACCATAATGTAAGTGAAAAGACTCAAGTTGGAAAATTACGTTATGACAGCATTTAAAGTATGCTTCGAAAAGACACACCAAGGAAACGATACATTATTCATGGGTTCGTATGCATGCAGGGAAGTACGGAGGAGGCTTATGAGGTTACACTAAATGTGTGGTGGTGATTCCCCCAGGAGAAGGAAGGCGGAAGAGTGAAGGCCTTTTCTTTGTCTGTAATGCTTCCACTGCTCTTCCTTCCTTCCTTCCTTCCTTCCTTCCTTCCTTCCTTCCTTCCTTCCTTCCTTCCTTCTTTCCTTTCTTTCTTTCTATTTTCCTTTGAGAGGTGAGTGTGCTGAGGAGTAGACATAGGACCTGGATTCTAAACATCTGAACAAAAAATGTCTTCTTGGTGTAACTGCATGAGTGTTTATTATATTATCCTCTGTTTTTTCCCCTCAGTCTTTTTTCTTTTCATGAGCACTTTTCATGTGCTCACAATTAAGTGCAACAAACAAAACAGAAGACCAAGGCCATATGGTAAATTCCCAGGCTGCCCCCGCTGCCCTCCGCCAGCAGACAGGCACCAGCCTTTGAATGCAGAGATTTATCTGCAAAAGAAACGACAACATCAGCCACTTGCCCTGTACTGATTGAAAAGCTCTGGAAATGTCATTTTTATTTTTATAGAAAGCTTCAAACCCATTTTCTGAAGGAAGGAAAGAAGTAGACAAAGCAAGGGGCAGAGAGGGGAGGACAGAAATGGGAGAGGAGGGATGCGTGGAGTGGAAGGGCAGAAGAGAAAGTGAAAGGTGGATTGAGCAAGAGGAAAAAGGAGTCCTAAAGCTCTGTGTTGGAGACAGCAAGGCTCTTACACTATAGCTACCCTCCGGAGCCACCTCCTGCCCTCCCACAGGCTGGAGATGAAGGAGGGAGAGGACAGACAAAGCGCCTGGGTCCCTCATCCTAGACAGAAGGGCCCCTAAGCCTCCGTGCAAAAGAACAGGGTGTTCTTCAATACTCTCCAGCAGCCTGGGGTTACTTAGACAATGGCTAATGAGATTTGCCTTTTGCCAAGTGTGTCTAAATGGTTCCCTTAGAAAGGCATTTTAAACCAGCTTATAGGGCTGCGAATTCCCCAGTCTGCACAAAGCGTGGGGAGCAGGGAGGCCTTGCAGGGAAGCCGGCTCTTTCCGGGAGACAAAGGAGATGGAGGCAAGCCAAATGTCAACTCCTCAGTGAGCCAGGGTGGCCCTAGGACGGCGACATTTTCACACAACCCCGGGGCCCAGTCCAGGGCACCTAAAGGGAGCCAGTGGCAGCTGCCAGACTTTGGGCCCCTTTGCTTAGGGCAAACTTGTCCTCAAGACCTGCAGCAGGCATGGGTATCACTCCCTGTGATACCTCAACTAACCGTGAGCATTTGGGAAGGCCTTTCTGGAAGAAGAAACTCAAGTGTAAGGGCCACTCTGAGCCTAGATCCCAAGACACTCAGAGAACACATTCCTTTTGCATTTTATGTTCCTACTCAAGCTGGCCAAGACAATAGGGAGGGCCAAGTGATGTCATATCAAGCCTCCCCTCCCCCACCTCAGATACACAGACAAGGTGGAGGTAGCTCAGCCTAGATATAGCCCAGGAAAGGCTCCTAGTAGTTCTCTGTAAGATCACTTCATCAGCCTGGCATGGCATGGTAGCACGCGCCTGTAACCCTAGGACCTGGTGGGCAAAAGCAAGTGGAATATGACTGCAAGATTCAGGCCAGCCAAGGCTACACAACGAGACTTTGTTTCAAAACAAAGTAATAAGTAAATAAATAAAGTGTTGTGCTCTGTGCCTATAATCGCAGCACTAGCAAGGCTGAGAGGCTGAGTTAGGAAGAGTTCCAGGCCAGCCTGGGTTATGTAGTGAATTCCAGTCCACCCTGGGCTGCAGCGTGAGACCTTGTCTCAAAACAAAACCACCAAGAGACTGCAGAGATGGCTCATCAGTGAAAAGCACTGGCTGTAACTGCAGAGGACCCAGACTTGATTCCCAGAACCCACATGGCGACCCACAGCCATCTGTAACTCCAGTTCCATAGAATCTGACACCCTCTTTTTGCCTCTGAAGGCACCAGGCATGTATGTGGCACACAGACATGCATTTAGGCAAAATGCCCCGCCCCAAACACACAATAAGTCTTTAATATTATTGCAAATTACCACCTGCTTGAGAGCTCAGCTTCTATGTGGTGCTATGAGATAATTTCCTATAGAGTAGATTTCTTTTTGAATTTATTATTGTTTTTAAAGAGTTATCTGATGGGTGTGGTGGTGCACACCTGTGATCCCAGCACTCAGGGAGGCAGAGACAGTCGGATCTCTGCGAGTTCAAGGCCAGCCTGATCTACAAAGCAGGTACAGGACAGCCAAGGCTACACAGAGAAACCCTGTCTTGAAAACAACAACAAAATGATTTATTTATCCATACTCACTGCTGTGTATGAGAAGCGGAAATTCTCAAAAACTCAGATGTCCCTATATTGCTAAAGGCACGTGAGGCAATCCTCACTGTGAACCAGACAGTCACCTAGGATATGGGAGCACAGCTCAAGCTGTATCTGTGAGGGCATCTCTACAGAAGGCCAGTGAAGGGTGAAGGCTCACTCTGAATGTGGATGGACCATCCCATGGGCTGTGGCCCCACAGAATCAAGTGGGGAAAGGGCAAAAGTCAGCAGGGCGTCCCCCTCGCCTCTTTTTAGGCAGAGAAAGAACAACTTTGAAACAAAGCACAGCAGTGAACACCTGCAATCCTAGCATCTGAGAGATAGGGGCAGGTAGAGTGCCAGCTCCATGCCATTTGAGCTACACAGCAAGACTGCTTCAAAAGGAACCAAACAACAAACTAGGCTTTACCGTCACATTCCTCACATTTTCAAAATATTACTTGGGCCAGCCAATGGTGGGGCACGCCTTCAACCCCAGCACTCTGGCGGAGGCAGGTGGATCTCTGTGAGTTCAAAGGAAGCCTGGTCTATAGAGTGAGTTCCAGGACAGCCAGGATACACAGAGAAATCCTGTCTCGAAAAAACCAAAAACCAAAACAGATTTTTTTTTTTTTTAACTTGGGGTCTGGGGACTAACTAGAAAGATGACTCAGTGTTTGAGAGCTTTAACTGCTCTTGCAGAGGGCCCAAGTTCATTCCCCTGTACCCATGTCAGGAGGTTCACAATGACATAAAATCCAGCTCCAGGAGATCCAACAGCCTCTTCTGGCTTCCTTGGTCACCCACATAAACACACACACCCAGGGCAGACAGTCCAGGCCTGGCATGCCTACCTTGGATTCCGTACAGCCGGTTGAGACGAGACCGCCGGGCCTCATCAGTGTAGGGCACAGCGAGCCACGGCATCTCACTGAAGTACTGCTTGAAAGACTCCTCTGACCTACAGAGAGAGGTGGAGAAAATGTCCTCATCCTTTGTGCATCTCCACTTGGTCCTTCCTGCCATGACAAAGTTGTGCTGGCTTCTATGGGGTTGGGGTTTCTAAGCTCAGGTTCCCAGCTTAGTTCCTCAGGCGGCAGGCTGATGATGAATGGAACCCGTTCTGGGGCTCACCAAGAAGCAGACGACTCACTCCACCTGGTTCCTCCCAGACTGAAACAGCAGCCGAGCCTGCCAGCACCCTCCTTGCACCCTATCAACTTTACCTCTGCCCAGCATCTCACCAACACAGACACACTGACTTTTAAAAGGCCGATTTGATCTGACTTGCGTGCACTCGTTTGTGCAGGGGGCCAAAAACCCAGAAAGGGACGTTGCATCCCTTGTAGCTGGAGTCACAGGGGTTTGTGAGCTGCCCAAAAGGCACACGGGGGCTGGAGCTGGGATGCTCGTCCTCTGATGGAGCGAAGTGCTCTGACCCGCCGCCTCTCCAGCCCTGACACGTCTTGACTGTTGCAGCGGGCCTAGACACAGCACAGCCGTGCTCCCCGCACACGCTAGTCTGCACACTCGGAACCAAGCCTACAGCCAGGGCCGCGCAGGTAAGAAGCTACAGAAAGCACAGGAGGCCTGAGCTGTGGGGCTGTAACGTGACCAGGCAGGACACATCCATCTGGGTGATGGAAAGGTTTTGTATCTTGACTGTATGACAGTGATGGCATGCAGAAACACATGGGGTGGACGAGCTCATTGAGTGGGAAAACCCAAAACAGACGCAATTTATTTTCACAGAAATTGTGTTTCAGTAAAGGTGATAGCGTTTAAAACTCCAAATGCCTTCAAGATTGCCTTGGGTCCCTTGCAGTGAGACTGGGAACTCTGGGGTGGGACAGTAAGATGGCACAGGATGTCAAAGCCACACTGTGGCATCTTGAGGGCCTTCTGAGACCCTCAGGCAGACAGAAGCTCCTGGTGTCTCAATCTGGATCTTGGGTGAGGTTCTAAGCAGAAGGCTGCTTACTGAAGAATGGAATGATGAGGAGCAGAGGCAACTGAGGCCGGAGTGACAAGGCTCTGGGGAGGAAAACCACACTCCTCACTTGTGTGATTTCTTATCCATGTGCTTTAAAGCAGCCCCAGACAAAGCGCATGGCCAGCCTGAAGAAACGGAATACATATCCACGCAAAGCTGTCACACTGTGCTAGTCTCATGGCTCCCATCCTCCGCCCTACATTCCCCCCTCACAATCTACAAAGCTGAACCAAAAATGCATCCTGACTTCAGCTGAACCCGAACTGAACTGGGATGTGCCTCCCTGTCTGCAGCAAGGTTTACCTCACTGAGATCCCAGATCTGTCTTCCCCAGGCCCTGATCCACGGCCTACGCTGAGGAAGACACATGAGGTGAAGGAACTGGGTATAAGCTGTTACTGAAAAGTGGTGCCACACTGTAGGGGGCCCGGTACCTGTCTGCGCTGACAAAGATGATCTCAAACTTCTGGCCTGCTTCTTTAATCTTCCTGTACGATTCCACCAGCACTCGGGTGAGGCTTCGGCAGGGTGGACACTGAAAGACAAGAGCCCCTGCCATGTGACATGCCTTCTCTACTTCCGGCCACTGGCCCCGGGGGTGGGGGATGCAGGTGAGAAGACCTTTGCTGTGGGGGACAGCAAAACCCAGTTTATACAAGAGACAGAAGTAAGCCATCACGGTAATCAGTATGCACAGACCCAGCCAGCCTTGGCAACGTGCAGCGAGACTGGGGAGCCCGTGGGATGGCTGAAGAGAGGTCATTTTCTTGCTGCCACCATCACTAACAGCATTTACTGGCATCCATGAGCAAGGCAAGGCAATGCCGGAGAACTTCCGCAGTCTCCCACCTGCAGATTCAGGCACTCTAGGCCTTGCCCCCTTCAATCCAAACTCACCCAGTGTGCAGAGAAGTAGACTCCGACATGAGACCCCTCCAGGCTGCTGCTCTCTAGCGACTGGCCATTATTTCTAAGCAAGGGCCCTGCAACAACTTCCCGGAAGGGCTTAGGTCCCCAAGGGAATTCCAGACCTGAAATAGGAAACAGATGGTAAGAATGTCAAGGCTCTCTATGATGGCCTCGGACCTGGGAGTCCTCAGAACTCTAGGCACAACTGTGTCATCATATAGTATTTATTGGCCTAGCTCACAGGCTCTGCAGCCAATGAGGAAACAGAACTAGGGCGAGCAAGGTGGTTCCCTGGGTAAAGATGTCCGGAGCCCAGGACGTGTAAAGGAGGAAGGAGAACAGACTCTGACGGAATATCCTCTGATCACCACATGTTCCCTAGGGGGCATGCGCGTGCCCACAAACACAAACAAATACACACACAAAGTAAGGTTTTCGACAATGTAACTTAACAGCTGGGTGGTGGTGGCTGCAGCGGCTGCACACCTTTAACTCCAGCTCTCAGGAGGCAGAGGCAGGAGGATCTCTGTGAGCTTGAGTCCGGCCTGGTCTATCAAAAGAATGAGTTCCAGGACAGCCAAAGCTACACCGAGAAACCCTGTTTCAAAAAAACAAAACAAAAATAACAAAAAAAATAATTACAAAAAGGAAGAGGATCAATCATCCAAGGCACAGCCTCATTACCACCGAAGCCTGGAGGATGAAAAAGCCTCTCTCCAGAGGGCTCTATCTCCAGACGCAAAAGCAAGGTAAAGATGGACAAACAGAACAGAAGGGAGACCAGACCAGGGCAGAATCCCCAGGTAACGGCAGTCAGCTGGGTCCATCGCACTGCATTGGAGACCATCACACCCAGATAGCAGTTCAGTCCCGTCCCTGGGTTCTCAACCCAGAGTGCACACTAGAACCCACTGGGGGCTTTTCAAGTGTGATGGGCCACACCCCTAGAGATTCTAAAGCAACAGGTCAGGGTTGGGGCCTACGGAACCAAGTGAGGACTGAAGTGTAATAAAAATGAAAATCTACAAAACCCAGATGCTCAGCATTCTTACGGCACGTAGTCTCCCAGCAGGAAGAGGAACTAACGTGTTCCCAGCTCAACACATTATTTTCTCACAGGGTGGTCCATGGCCCACTGCCTCAAAACTGCCTGAGGGGCCAGGGATGAGAGTCCTGTTAAAGATGCAGGTGGCCAAGCCCACCCAGAAACCGGGGGATACAAAACGCTACGGTGGCTGGACTGACCAGGCTGCTAACAGTGTGGGGACTGGGTGGGGTGTGCGCTCGCTACATCCTGATTTTTATAAAGGGCAATCATTCTCCATGGGAACTCTCAATCCGTCTCTGTATCTCTGTCTCTGTTCATTTGTTTTGTTTTGTTTTCTCTCTCTAAGGTCCCGCTGTATATTTCTGATGGGCCTGAAGCTCAGGCTGGCCCCAGTTTGGCTCTGCCTCCCTGGAGAGTGCTGGGATTAAAGGTGCTACCACGCTGACCTTGCTTTCCATTTTTTGAGAGTAGCTCGGGTTGGCTTTGAACTCAGAACCTTCTTAGCGTCCAGACTGCTGGGACTTCAGGTGTGCACCACCACATCCAGCTCTGTGGTGTGTGTGTCATTTGCTGTAACACTTTGTGACCTGGAGATGAAGCTTACTGGGTCAGTAAGCAAGGCAGTGGAGACCTTGCAATTCCGACTGCTCCGGTGCAAGAGGGAAAGTGCAGCCGTGGCCAGCCCCCGGTAGGTGGTCCAGGCAGACTTCCCAGCAGTCATTAGCCAGCAGGTCAGCATGAGCAAGCCATGGGGAGCCGGGACTCAAGCTGCACCAGGCAAGGCAGTGCACTCACCACCGCGGCTGAGAGATGGAGACTTTTCTGGGTGACGATGGAGGAACGTTCTGAATCCTCAAATCTGAAATCCACCCCCCCCATTTTTGTTTTCAAGACAAGATTTCTCTGTGTAGCTCTGTCTGTCCTAGAACTAGCTCTGTAGACCAGGGTGGCCTTGAACTCAGAGATCCAGCTGCCTCTGCCTCCCAGGAGATGAGATTAAAGATGTGTGACACTGGTGCCTGGCAAATTCAAACTTTTTTTGATAGTCAAGAAGTTTCAGATTTCAGGCCTCAGCACTCAATAGGCTGAGACAGGAAAAGTGCACAGATCTGGAGAAGCCCAGACTATGTAGCAAGTTTCAAGGTAACCTGGGCAAACAATGAAATCTTGATTTAAAAAAAAAAAAATCAATCAGTAAGTGTCAGATTTGGGGGTTAAGAATTTTCAGGTAGCAACATAAATGCAAATATTCCCAAATCTGAAAAACTAAAACATGAGGAGTCTTTCTGTTCCCACCTCAGTGGAGGACAGCGTCCTTGAGTACTAGCCAGGAGGGACTCAGTTCCGTCCTGCCAGCCCACGATATACATTAGAACTCACTGAGGGGGGTAGGAGGCGGTGAGACTGTCAAGCAGGTAAGGGTCACGTATCTATCATGTACATGGAGGTCAGAGGACGGCTGGTGGAGATGGTTCTCTCCCATCACGGTGGTTCTAGGATTGGAACGCAGGTTGTCTGGCTTGGCAGTGAGAGCCTTTCTCCACCAAGCCTTCAGTCCTCTCCTCTCTGCATATACGTATTTTTGTTTTTGTTGAGACAGGGTCTTGTTGTGTATCCCTAGCTAGTGTCAAACTTGCTATATAGACCCGACTGGTCTTGAACTCAAAGAAATCTACCTGCCTGCCCTTCTTGAGTGCTGGGATTAAGGTACACACTACCACAGCCAGACACCCAAGATTTGAAAACAGGGTTGTCCCCTCCCATCCCCCACGCACACAGCAGACCCTTACTGCTAAAGTGGCTGCTGCTGCTGAAATAGCACTAGAGGTCAGCATCTGGGCCCCTGCTGCTTTTCAGCAGCCTCCCCAGGCCCGAAAGCTGAACATTCCTTCCCAGATCCCATCTGCTTTGGCCCAAGAATTAATGGCCCCTGGAGGGACATTCTGAGCCTTTAAAAATCTTAACTATGACCTGGAGTATACAATAATTTCATCAAGACAATATTCTCTAGCCATGTAAACCTACTTACAGCACTTCATTAGTACTTCGGTTGAGGAGGGGCTAGAGCAGGGAGATGGGGAGCCAGGCACGCCCAACCCTTACCTTCTGGGTCATCTCGGATCACCAGGAGCCCGTTCCTGCACACAACCTTCCCTGTGGTGGCATCTAGGAATATTAGTGACGGAATGTTGGAGATTCGGTATTTGTTCCAAAGTTTAAGCTATAAAAAGAAAAGTGTAATAAGGTGGTTAAACCCAAAACAAATTAATTGCAGAGTTCTTTCAAGTCCCTCAGGCCCAGGAAAAGATGAGTGGAAAAGCATTAGAGTGGAAAGACAAAACGAGAATTAATGGCTCAAAACAGAGCTGCCCCTGTGGACCTGTAGGGTGTGGGACCCTGAGTCTTGGGAAGGTTCATGTTACAGAGGTGGTTGCTAGAAGGACATTCAGCCTCATACCAGTCCCCAGGGAACAACCCAAAAAGTCACAATAAAGAACCAACCTCTTCAGAGAGCAACGGGACCTCAATCGGGTGACTTGGGAAGGGAGGGAAGCAACCCCGCCCGGCAGCAGGCAACACGCAGCAGCCAGTCACCAGCCTAGGAGGAGGGGACAGGCTTTCCACCGAGAGCAAGCAGTGAACTGTGCCCTCTCCACACTTGTCCAGGCCTGTGACTGGAATAGCATCTTTGCTATATATGTGTGCCGTTTGTCTTGCCGAACACAGGCACCAAGTCTGCCCAAACCCTTAGCCCTCAGTGCCACTCCAAACAGCCTCCAGGCTGCTGGCAGAGTTGACGCTGGCACTACAAGCCGTTAGAGACCCAGGGTCTAAGAAGAAGGAAGCCGAGAACCTGGGAACATCACAGCCCTGGATGCGAAGCCAGATTTTTGCAGGCTCTATTGCTTGCTCATGGCCACGGGGTGAACACCCTTTCGGTGGGCACAGAAATGGGTGTTCCGAAGTGTAACCACCAAGCCCTGGTACCAAAACCATCAAGGGAAATGCTGGGCTAGCTACATAGCTCCAAGCAGAAAGAAGCAAAAGATAGCTACATGAGGACTCTAAGACTCCCTCTCTGGAGCACCTGGAGTCCAGGCAGGGAGGCTTAGCCACTGGCCCAACAAGGCAGGGATATGTGGAAAGGCCTCAACAGGCCTCAGAAGGTGGCTTCACCCAGCGGGGGAAGGAGTGTGTGAATTCCAAACAGAGTGTCTGCCAAGAGAGTCAAGGCTTCTCAGCCCATAAAGACACATGGCTTGGTGAAGGGTCACTGGACTCTGTTTCACACTGGGTGGCCGCTCCTGATGGCTTCCCAGCACCACATTTCCAGTGGGCTCCCAAACAAGCCTTCTAACAAGAGTGGCTGTGAGCAGCTCATAGGGTCACTACTGGGTCATTCCACAGAAACCTGGTCCTGGGCACAGGTCAAGCATTCTTTTACTGTTATTGTTTGAGACAAGGTCTCACCATGTAGCTGAGGCTGACAACATTAGTTATGAAACTCAGGCTAGCCTAGAATTCTGAGTCCCCTGCACCAGTCCTAGCCTTTAATGAAACTTTTTTCCCCCTTCGAGATAGAGTTTCTCTGTGTAGACCTGACTGTCCTGGCAATCGCTCTATAGACCAGGCTGGTCTGGAACTCAAGACCTACCTGCCTCTGCCTTCTGAGTGCTGGTATTAAAGACAAGCACCCAGCACATTGATGAAACATTCTTTAGAGGTTTGACAACAAACAAGACCTTCAAGCCACTGGGATCAGTAACTTAACTTTCCTGTGCCAGAGGCCGTCCAGGTTACTTAACGGGTGTGTCCAAGGTGGGGGCAGGGGTGTGCACTGGAGAGATGGTTCAGCAGTTAAGAGTACTTGCTCCACAATCATGGGATCTTTGTTTCCAGGTGCGGGTCTACCAGCTTAGGGGAAACAGTGTGCTTCTGTGCTTATAAGGGAGACTGAAAAGTTGATCCTTTTATAGCCCAGCCCATCATGGTCTAATTTTATGACAATGATTTGTTTCGGAACTTATTCATCAGTGAGCTCTGTCTGTGGCCTGGCACATACTTTTCTCAGGCTGCAGATCAAGGTTACTCAGCTTGGAAACTGTGGAAGGTCCAGAAACAATCGTCTGACCTTTTCTTTCTTAATTTTTAAATTCTTACTTATTTTTATGTGTATGGCTATCTTTCTTGCATGTATGTCTGTAACCAAATATGTTCCTGATTCCTCTTGGAGACAGGAAGAGGGTGTCAAATTCCTGGGAACTGAAGTTCCAGAATGTTCGGTGCTGGGAATGAAACCCAGGCCCTCTGGGAGAGCGGCCAGTGCTCTTAACTGCCAAGGCATCTCTTTAACCACTCTTTTCTTTTTAAAACAATTGTGCAGCTATATCTCTGGACAAAATATATGTTATATCTGTTTCTATATTATATGTATTATATAATATATTGCAGTCTATATATTATCTATAAAATCTGTGTGAGAGCACCACTTGTGCAGATGCCCACAGAGGCCTGAAGAGGGCGCCAGAAGCCCCAGAGCTGCAGTACAGGGGGCTGTGGGTCTCCCGATGTGGGTGCTGGGAGTCACACCAGGGCCTCTGGAGGAGGACGCCCTCCTAACCACTGTACCATCTTTCCAGTGCCTGACCTCGTGATACCTGAGTCAGACCGTACGTGATGCCTGAACCAGAAAGCTGGCCTCAGGCTGACGCGCTCAGCATTGCCTGTGCTGAGAGCTCTATCTCACTGAATGTGAGTGAGAAAACCTTGTCCTTCAGGAATGACGCACTCTGCCTTACGGTCCACTAATGGTCTCCAGAGGCCTCTGAAACAGGCCTCTTAAACACCTGGGAGTCTCGGACCTTTCAGCCTTAGAAAAGTGTGGGAACATACAAACTCTGTGTGTGACATATCGGAGCTCAGAACCTGAGCTGGGACCTGAAGAACTACAGCACGCCTGTGGGTCCCAGATAAAGGCCCTTTGTCTTAAGAGTTCATAGTGTACCAATCTTGACTTTGACTCCCAGGGAGAGCTGAGACGCCAACCACCTGTCATTCAAATGTCAATGTCCAAAAGAAGGCTGAAACGCACGGTGCCAATGCAGTGAGAGCGGGTGGCAAACACCAGGGCCTGAGCCCTTCCCAGGCTGAAGAGTGCTTTCATCTTAGGGTGCTGGAAATAACCGGACAGCAGTGCTGAGCTCACCTTTTAGGAAGTACCCAGCAGCCGTGAGCACTGGTGCAGGCCTTTAGTCCCAGCACTCAGGAGGCAGCGGCAGGTGGATCTCTGTGAGTTTGAGTCCAGCCCTTGTCTACACAGAGTTCCAGGACAGCCAGGGCTACACAGAGAGACCCTGTCTCAAAATCCACCGGCCCCAAAAGTGAGCTCATATTCTTGTTGTTATAGTTGAGATTCGGGTGTGTGTGTGTGGGGGGGTGCTGAGGATTGAATTGAGGGCCTCATGTGTTCCAGGCCAAGCGCTCTGCCACCCAGAAACACCACCACATTTAATCCTCAGCATCTAAAAGCTTCATCTGGCAGAGAACATGTCAGCACGGAGAGAAAACAGGCCACCAAGTGGCTGGGCTGCCGTCTTGGCCCTGAGGCTCACCAGGCTTCCGTGGACAGGTCACACCGCACTCACAGAGCACTGTACCCACACTTCAGGGGCCACGAGCCCAAGAAAGTGTCACATGTGGAAACACTTTCATTTTAAAAGCCAGATCCACATGGGATGCTTCATTAATACTGAAATCCAATTTCTGCTCATTCCCCCTTGTCTTGTCAGCATCCTCTTCAAAGACTGTTTCCTCGTCAGCTTTGTTTTACAGTTAATCAATCAACTGCACAGTTAGCAGGCTGTAAATGAGAGGACTTATGGAATGGGGGTTTCCTTCTGCCATAAGCACCTAATGCAACACACTAGACATTTGTGGCCCTGTTTTATGTCATCTGTTTGCAGTTGCCTGTTTTATTAACTCTTCATCCCTACTTTCAGATTTTCTAATTATATGATTTACGTACACATACATATATGTATATATGTGTGTTTGTGTGTATATACACACATTTACATATATATAAGATTTTCTTTTTAAAACAGAGTGGTATTACGTTGCTCAGGTTAGCCTTGAAGTCCTGATCTCAGGCCACGCTCTTGCCTCATCCTCCCACATAGCTGGGTCTACAGGCGGGTGTCCTCATGCCCTGCTGGAAAGTTTTTCTGCTTTTGCCTCTGTGGGTTTTGCTAAGAGAATCCTGACACCACATCTGACTCTGGAAGGAATTCCTACTTGGTTTCCTGCCTCTGGCTCGAATGACTAAAAGCACGGAGACTCAGCACAGCCTGCTGCAGGCAGGCGTGGGAGGGTGGGGGCGCTGAGTCAGGCTCTTCCCATCCAGCTGCCTTTGAACCTGAAGACAGGACGGAGGGCAGGAGCTCATATTCCGCTGCATTCAGGAGAGTTTTGGAAACAGTCCATGGCAAAGTTAGCATTTTAATCTGTTAAGGTGGGGTCAAACTTGGGCCTTGGTGTGTCAGGCGCCACTAACCCTGAGCTACATCCCAGGTGCAACCCATGTATTTTTAAGAGGGTCACGAATCTATGGCCGCTGCTGCAGCTGGAGAGCACAAGGGACTTTCACATCCCCATCTGCCCTCTCTCCACTGACCATCCTGGCAGAGGCTACCCAAGGGTCATTCTGATGGCGCCTGCCACTCAGGACCTTTGCCTTCCAGTCTCCTAAAGGCCAAATACCTACAACAGCGTGTTACAGCAGACCGTAACACTAACTGTTAGAGCTAAGCGTGAAAATGCTAATAATTTATGCTAATTATTTATAAAAATGCTAATAATTTCTCAGCACTGTGGAGAGGGCTCGCTGGGGGACAGTGCTTGCTGCGTGGGCACCGATGGCCTTCGACGGGAGCCCCAGCATCCACGAGAAGTATAGGCAGGTATAGTTTCAGTAGGGAGGGTTCCACAGATAACCTAGTCTGTTTCTCACTGGCCAGCCTAGCCAAAAACCCAACAGGACACCTTACATCCTTCTCCGGCCTACTGAACTACCTAAACACACACACACACACACACACACACACACACACACACACACACACATGCAACCCCTCCCCTCCCACACATCTATATGCCACCTTGATCCTGACTCACCCACAAGTAAATATTGACGATTAGTTTGCCAAATTCAGGAGCAATGCA